CGCGCGGCACCGGACGCCGGAAGGGAGTCATTTGGTCCGGCCGCGCCTCAGCCACAGCGGGACATCGGCGGGACACCGCGCGGCACCGGTTGCCGGAAGGGAGTCATTTGGTCCGGCTGCGCCTCAGCCACAGGAGACTCTCCTGTCGGCCGCTCACGCATCTTCGCCTCGCCCGCACGCACGGCACGCACGGCCTCGCCCGCACGCACGGCAACCGATTTCCCGGTAGGGGGGCTCTCCGTTCCACTTCGATCTCACCCCCTCACCTCCGACTACTACAACTACTACTACTACTACTACTACTACTACTATTACTACTACTACTACTACTACTACTACTACTACTACTACTACTACTACTACTACGACTACGACTACGACTACGACTACGACTACGACTACGAACTACGACTACTACTACTACTACTACTACACTACTACTACGACTACTACTACTACTCTTCACTACTACTAACTACTCGACTACTCCTACTACTCCTACTACTCCTACTACTCCTACTACTCCTACTCCTACTACTACTACTACTACTACTACTACTACTACTACTACTACTACTACTACTACTACTACTACTACTACTACTACTACTACTACTACCACCAAGATTACGACTACGACTACGACTACGACTACGTTTACGACTACGACTACTACTACGACGACTACTACTACTACTACTACTACTACCACTACTACTTCTAATACTACAAATATTAAGTATACATTCGTTAAAAGAATGTCATAATCAATGATGATACTGGGGAAGAGCCCTAATCATATTTGTTTTAGGGCTACAGGGCTATGGGGCTTTAGGGCTACAAGGCTATATGGCTATGGGGCTATAGGGCTATAGGACTATAGGGCTATAGGGCTACAGGGATCTATAGGGCTCTAGGGCTCTAGGGCTATAGGGCTACAGGGCTATAGGGCGATAGGGCTATAAAGCTATAAAGCTATAGCGCTATAGGGCTACTGGGCACCCAGGCCGGCCACCGAAATCGGCGGTGAACCTCACCTAACTATATGAATGCGCCTGGACCCCTACGATTATGACTATACTCGTGATCATGATAATACGACTACTACTACTACTACTACTACTACTACTACTACTACTACTACTACTACTACTACTACTACTACTACTACTATACTACTACTACTACTACTACTACTACTACTACTACTACTACTACTACTACTACTACTACTACTACGACTACGACTACTACTACTACTACTACTACTACTACTACCACTACTACTACTACTTTTACTATTACTACTACTACTACTACTACTATTACTACTACTACTACTACTACTACTACGATACTACTACCACTACTACTACTACTACTACTACTACTACTCTACTACCACTACTACTACTACTACTCTACTACTACCAATACTACTAACTAGTACTACTACGACAACCCTACTAAATACTACCTATACCTACTCTACTACTACAACCTACACTACTACTACTACTACACTAATACTACGACATACGACTACGACGAGACTACTACGACTACTACTACTCCTCCTACTACTACGCACTGCTACTACTACTACTACGACAACACCTCTACTACCGACTTTTACTACTACTACTACTACTACTACTACTACTACTACTACTACTACTATCTACTACTAACTACTACTACACTACCACTACTACTACACTACGACAACTACTATACTACTACTACTACTAACTACTACTACTACTACTATTGCGACTACTACGACTACTACTATTACTACTACTACTACTACTACTACTACTACTACTACTTCTTCTACTTCTACCACTACTACTACTACTACTACTACTACTACTACTACTACTACTACTACTACTAATATTAATAATAAGAAGAATTCTACTAACACTACTAACACTACTAACACTACTACTACTACTCCTTATACTTCAACTTGTACTTCTACGTATATTTCTACTGCTAGTGCTAATACTACTACTACTACTACTACTACTACTACTACTACTACTACTACTACTACTACTACTACTACTACTACTACTATTACTACTACTACTACTACTACTACTAGTACTACTACTACTACTACTACTACTACTACTACTGCTGCGACTACTACTACTACTACTACTACTACTACTACTTCTACTACTACTACTTACTATACTACTTAATAATACTATACTGTTACTCCTACGCTTGCTCACTACTACTACTACTACTACTACTACTACTACTACTACTACTACTACTACTACTACTACTACTTCTACCACTACTACTACTACTACTACTACTACTACTACTACTACTACTACTACTACTACTACTACTACTACTACTACCGCGACTAGCACAACAGCAACAACTACTACTACTACTACTATTACTACTACTACTACTACTACTACTACTACTACTACTATTACTACTACTACGACTACTACTACTACTACTACTACTACTACTACTACTACTACTACTACTACTGCTGCTGCTGCTGCTGCGACTACTACTACTGATTATACTGTTAAGCATGCTAGTGATAAAGTTTGCAAGGCTATGGAAACTAGTAATACGACTACTACGAATTATATAAGAAAATAATCGTAACATGGATAATTTCAATCACCCAGACAATACGATCAATAATAACAATCAAAACAATGGTTTTAACATTATTACTACTAATAATAATCAGAGTGACTGGCCGAACGGTCATGTATTGTCCCTGGGTGCGTGGCTGAATAGGCAATTCGTGGTGAGAACTCTGCTTGTTGCGTTGTTGTAGTTGTCGTTGATGTTTTATTGTCATCGTCCCACTCGCGACCCACCCGCGACGCACCCCGCGACTCATCCCGCGACCCACCCCGCGACCCACCCCGCGACCCACCCGCGACCCATCCCGCGACCCACTCGCGACCCACCCCGCGACCCACCCGCGACCCACCCGCGACCCACCCGCGACCCACTCCGCGACCCACCCGCGACCCACCCCGCGACCCATCTGCGACTTATCCGCGAACCACCCGCGATCCACCCCGCGACCCACCCGCGACCCACCCCGCGACCCACCCGCAAGGGAAGAAAAACCACCTGGACCCGACAATTGACGTTTACTAAACAGATCTGGGCGTTTACTGAACAGCCCTGCCCTGTTCGATTCATTCTTTGTGTGCGTTTACTAAACGGCTTCGGGTGGATTTTCTGCCCTCTACACCAGCGACCCACCCGCGACCCAACAACGACCCACCCGCGACCCACCCGCGACCTGCACGCGACCCACCCGCGACCTACCCACATCGGTTGAACGAAAAAATCGGTGCCTGCGGCGGGCTCGTTTTATAATTTGTGCAACTTTGGCGCCTGCGGCGGGCTTCTCCAAAGTCTCGCAAACTACCGACGTCCCCACCGCCCCCTCACTCTGATCCGCATCTGCGGGGGGCTGCTTGATAATCATCCTCCTCCTCCTCCGCCTCCTTCTCCTGCTCATCCTTATCTTGCGCCTCTTCCCCCTCCTTGTCCTCCTCATCGTTCTCTTCAGCGCTGCTCTCCTCCTCAGTTTCGTCCTTCGCCTCCTCCTGCTGCCCCTCGTCTTCTTCCACGACGCCTCCTGCTCATCGTTTTGCTCCACCGCGGCGGCGCCCCCTCCCCCAGCCTCAGCCCCTGCCCCTCCTCCTCCTCCTCCTCCTCCTCCTCATCTTCCTCCTCCTTCTCGTCCCTTCTCCTATTCCATATTCCCGCCCCTCCTTGAGATCGCCAAGGAACTCTCATCCCAAAGCCTTTCCTAAATATAACCGCGTTGAGCGCTCTGAGTAATGCTTTCCTCATCCAACGCCTCCCTCCTCCTCTCCCCCTCCTACGACGACGAGGGCACCGACGCCTCCTCCACCTCCTTCTCATCGTACTGGTCGGCTTCTTACCCCGCTGGCGACGACGACACCGACACCCCTTTATCCTCATCGTGCTCCTCCTACCGTCTTCATTTCCCTCCTTCTCCGGCTCCTCATCCTCCTGTTCCTCGCCTTCCTCCACGACGCCTCGGGCTTGTCGCTTTCCTCTACCACGGCGACAATTCCCGAGCCCCCTCCCCCTGCCCCCGCCCCTCCGACGACGATGATTACACCGACGCCTCTTCTTCTTCTGCCTCCTCCTTCTCCTGCTCCTCCCCATCGTACTTGTCCTTTTGCTTTTATTTTTCAAGAGTGGAGGGGGAGAGAAGAGAGCACGAGGACGAGACGAAGATGAGAGGAAGGGAAAAGGAATCGCGAGGCCCACGCATCACGCTTCAAACGCGGCCAAATCAGTTACGCGAGCGTGAACGTCCATGTAAGAAAAATCTGGGAATCCCCGCGCAGACTAGACGCCCAAAACGATACACACTGTGAAGGCGCATCATCAGCTGAACAAGGCGAATGCCTGGAGGTAAAAGCGAAGTGGCACGAGCCACGACGCAGAGCCACAGAGGCGAAACCACGGACGCCCGACGCAACGGAGGCGGAGGACCAACAGCGCCTGCAGGAGAGCAGCAGAGCGGAGATACCACCAATATTGATCCCAATCATACTGGTCGTCTTCTTTCCCCCCCTCCTCCTCCGACGACGACGACACAGGCGCACCCTCCTCCTGCTCCTGCCCCTGCTCCTGCTCCTGCTCCCCCTCCTCCTCCTCCTCCTCCTCCTCCTCCTCTCCTCCTCCTTCTCCTCCTCCTCCTCCCTCCTCCGCCCCTCCTCCGCCTCCTCCTCCGCCTCCTCCTCCGTGTCCGCCTTCTCCTCCTCCTCCGCCTCCTCCTCCGCCTCCGCCTCCTCCTCCTCCGTTTCCTTCTACTGCTCCTCGTCTTCCTCAACGACGCATCCTGCCCCCCGTTTCCTATCACTTCGACGACGACGACGACGCCGACGACGTGGAAATACACGCCCACGCTTTTGCAGATGGTGGCGCTTTTGCAGCCCACGCGCCTCCGTCCGCAGAGCGTGCCACGCGTTTGGGGGAGGTCGGGGCTTCCACGTTCTCCACCTGCGAGCACCGCGGCTGGGGAGGGTTACGGGGCTACCTCGCCGTCATCGTCGTTGACGACGTCCGCCGTCGTCGCCGCCACCGTCGACGCCCTCGCCGCCGCCACAGCCGTCGATACCGCCGCCGTCGCTTTCGTCGTCGTCCCCGCTGCCGCCGTCCTCGAATTCGCCTTTTTTAGACCGCAGTGATTGTTGATCTATGACAACAGAACTGAAAACGAATCGGGCTCCCGCTCGAGCGCGCGCTAAGTTCTAAATTTGAATTGGTCAAGCCCAACCTATGACGACAGCGGCCGCCGCTCGACATTTCCTCACAATGTACTCCGAAACGCCCCAGCCAGCGGCACATAGACTTACTCACAATTTACTCACACATGATTTCCTCAGATCCTCATAATTTACTCCACAGCGGCACGCTGCAGCGGCTTCTTAGAAGCAGGGGCGCTTCTGAGAAGCCTTCCCCCCTCCCCCATACCCCCCTCTGCGTGTGGCTGCTCGTAGGCCCAGCTGCACGCAAGAGTGAACCGAGGCACGAGTGACCTTTGGTGCGCGGCTTTCGGGGAGCCGCAGGGGGGGCCAAACCCAGGCGCGCAAGGCGCTGCTGCCGCATCGCGTCCGGCCTTCGAGGGGCCCAATGGGCCCGCACCAAAGGTCACTCCGGCGAAGGGTCGCTCTTACGTGTAGTCGAGAACTTGGCGGCGCGCACAAGGAAGAAAGGGGAAGGGAGAAAGCTTCTTAGAAGGAGGCTGCGTTTTAGAGTGTGCCGGCTTTACATCTACAGATAAGGCCCGCGCCTTCCAAGAGGCAGGGGTGCTTCTAGGAAGCCTTCCCCCCTCCCTCCGCCCCCTGAGGGCACAGAGCGATTGAGCCACCCGCCAGCAAGGAAGGAGTCTTCGTCCTCCTCCTCGTCCTCCGCAACGGCGCCTTCGGAGGCCCTCATGGATGAGGAGCAGACGTCAGGCTGGCCCCTTGGATTCTTTTGAAGTCCGCGGGCGCCGCGTGGTCAGGACAGTCAGTCGCCGGTCAGCAAGCAGTGGTGTGCACTGGTGGCGAATTGAGGCACGCGAGCGAAAGAGAAAAGTATCCGAAAGGAGAAAGGGAGCAGTCGCCGGTCAGCAAGCAGTGGTGTGCACTGGTGGCGAATTGAGGCACGCGAGCGAAAGAGAAAAGTATCCGAAAGGAGAAAGGGAGGGCCCGTTGAGACAATTTGGAGTCGGCGCGGGCACCTTGGGTACACCCAAAAACAACCTGGGGACAAGCTCCTGCGGCGCATGCTCGGAGACGTGGGAAACAAGTTTCTGGGGCGTCTGCTGGGAGAGGGTGCTCTTCCTGTCGAGTCCATCATCAGCGAGGACGTCCCATCTCCACGTCCTCCTCCTCATCCTCCTTCTCCTCCTCCTCCCTCCTGCCTCCTGCCTCCTGCCTCCTCCTCCCTCCCTCCTCCTCCCTCCTCCCTCCTCCCTCCTCCCTCCTGCCTCCTCCTCCCTCCTCCCTCCTCTCTCCTGCCTCCTGCCTCCTGCCTCCTGCCTCCTGCCTCCCTCCCTCCTCCTCGCTGCCTCCTCCTCCTTCTCTCTCTCCCCTCCTCCTCTCCTCTCCTCCTCCTCCTCCTCCTCCCTCGCCTCCTCCTCCCCGCCTCCTCCTCCTCCTCCTCCCCTCCTCCTCCTCCTCCTCCTCCTCCTCCTCCTCCTCCTCCTCCTCCTCCTCCTCCTCCTCCTCCCTCCTCCCTCCTGCCTCCTGCCTCCTGCCTCCTGCCTCCCGCCTCCTGCCTATTGCCTCCTGCCTCCCTTCTGCCTCCTGCACCGTCCTCCCCCTCCACTCTGCCTTGCGTCTGCCTCCGTGCTCCCTCCTGCCTCTTGCGTCCGTCCTGCTTCCATCCCCTCCAACCTCCAGCCTCACTCCTTCGCCTCCTCCCTCTCCTCCTCCTCCTCCTCCTCCTCCTCCTCTCCTCCTCCTCCTCCTCCTCCTCCTCCTCCTCCCCCTCCTCCGCCTGCGACGACGACGACGACGACGACGACGACGACGACGACGACGACGTACAATAAAAACTATCCCGGCAAAGCAACCTAACAGCGATGTGTAAATGCATATCTGAAAGCATTCCCCTTAAGATTCGGATGAGAATCCAGTTGTAGAATTCTGCTGTTCTCGCAGTCGCAGTCGCATTCGCGATGACAGTCGCAGTGGCAACAGGTCGCAGTCACAGCCTCAAAGCAACGGCAGCCTGTCGCAGCCTGTCAGCCTCAGCCTCAGCCTGCCTCAGCATCAGCCTGCCTCAGCCTCAGCCTCAGCCTGCCTCAGCCTCAGCCTCAGCCTGCTTCAGCCTCAGCCCCATCAGCCGCAGCCTCGGCCTCAGCCTCAGCCTCAGCCTCAGCCTGAGCCTCAGCCTCAGCCTCAGCCTCAGCCTCAGCCTCACCTCAGCCTCAGCCTGCCTCAGCCTCAGCCTCAGCCTCATCCTGCCTCTAGCCTCAGCTGCCTCAGCTCAGCCTCAGCCTGCCTCAGCCTCATCCTCAGCCTGCTTCATCTCAGCCTCAGTCTCCTTCAGCCTCAGCCTCACTGCCTCAGCCTGAGCCTCAGCTCAGCCTCACCTCAGCGGCTCCTCCCTCAGCCTGCCTCAGCCTCAGCCTCAGCTCAGCCTACAGCCTCAGCCTCAGCCTCAGTCTGCCTGCCTCCATTCAGCCTCAGCCTGCCTCAGCCTCAGCTTCATCAGCCTCAGCCTCAGCATCAGCCTCAGCCTCAGCCTGCTTCAGCCTCAGCCTCAGTCTGCCTTCAGCCTCGGCCTCGGCCTCAGCCTGCCTCAGCCTCAGCCTGCATCAGCCTCAGCCTCAGCCTCAGCCTGCCTCAGCATCAGCCTCGCCTCAGCCTCAGCTTGCCTCAGCCTCAGCCTGCTGCTTCAGCCTCAGCCTCAGTCTGCCTTCAGCCTCGGCCTCAGCCTCAGCCTGCCTCAGCCTCAGCCTGCCTCAGCCTCAGCCTCAGCCTCCCTCAGCCTCAGCCTCAGCCTGCCTCAGCCTCAGCCTCAGCCTCAGCAGCTGCTGCCTCAGCCTCAGCCTCAGCCTGCTCTCAGCCTTCAGCCTCAGTCTGCCTTCAGCCTCGGCGTCAGCCTCAGGCTGCCTCAGCCTCAGCCTGCATCAGCCTCAGCCTCAGCCTCAGCCTGCCTCAGCATCAGCCTGCCTCTGCCTCAGCCTCAGCCTGCCTCAGCCTCAGCCTCAGCCTGCTTCAGCCTCAGCCTCAGTCTGCCGTCGGCCTCGGCCTCAGCCTCAGCCTGCCTCAGCCTCAGCCTGCATCAGCCTCAGCCTCAGCCTCAGCCTGCCTCAGCATCAGCCTGCCTCAGCCTCAGCCTCAGCCTCAGCCTGCCTCAGCCTCAGCCTCAGCCTGCTTCAGCCTCAGCCTCAGTCTGCCTTCAGCCTCGGCCTCAGCCTCAGCCTGCCTCAGCCTCAGCCTGCATCAGCCTCAGCCTCAGCCTCAGCCTGCCTCAGCATCAGCCTGCCTCAGCCTCAGCCTCAGCCTGCCTCAGCCTCAGCCTCAGCCTGCTTCAGCCTCAGCCTCAGTCTGCCTTCAGCCTCGGCCTCAGCCTCAGCCTGCCTCAGCCTCAGCCTGCATCAGCCTCAGCCTCAGCCTCAGCCTGCCTCAGCCTCAGCCTGCCTCAGCCTCAGCCTCAGCCTGCCTCAGCCTCAGCCTCAGCCTGCTTCAGCCTCAGCCTCAGTCTGCCTTCAGCCTCGGCCTCAGCCTCAGCCTGCCTCAGCCTCAGCCTGCCTCAGCCTCAGCATCAGCCTGCCTCAGCATTCAAAATGTGGCCCGGGAATGGAGTGCTGGGAACTCGAAGAACACGAATTGGCCTACAGTTGGCTCCGGGCATTCAGAATCATGCCCAAGAACGGAGTTCTGGGAACTCGAAGACCACGAAGTGGCCTACAGTTGGCTCCGGGCATTCCAAATCATGCCCAGGAATGGAGTTCTGGGAACTCGAAGACCACGAAGTGGCCTACAGTTGGCTCTGGGCATTCAAAAACGTGCCCAAGAATGGGGTTCTGGGAACTCGAAGAACACGAAGTGGCCTACAGTTGGCTCCGGGCATTCAAAATCATGCCCAGGAATGGAGTTCTGGGAACTCGAAGACCACGAAGTGCGTTACTGTTGGCTAAAAAAGGGGTCCCCGGATTCCCGCGGCACTCCCCGGATTCCCGCGGCACCCGTCCGGCATCTGCCCAGACCCCCCTGGGGAGTCATGATGCTCTCTTTTGAGACCACTAGAAACCTATCAGTCTTCGCTGTTAGGTAATGACGACGCTTCCCCAACGACGGTAATCATGCCGCCTCCCCGACGACCCTGAGATCCCACGTTGCGAAAAAACATGCAACATCGCAGCAATTTTTGACCCAAACTCTGAACCCCATGCTTTTCGGGGGCTCCTTTTCGAGCCGGAGCCACCCGAGACAGCCCTGGGGCCCGAAGCTGGGCGAAAACGCCGGGTGCGAAACCACCTTGCGAACATTGCAGCGCCCGGTATTCCAGGGGACGTGGGCGGCGACGGCGGCGGCGGCGGAAGCGGCGGTGGCGAGGGCGCGCCGTGTCGGGCCGGGCCGCCAGCACCGCCTGCGAGCGGGTTTGCACGGGCGCGGGCCGCGGCCGGGCCGCGCCGGGCTGCGCCAGGCTGCGCTGGGAAGGAGGGAGGCGGCAGAGGGACGAGAGCTGGGCACCCACATCTCCGGCGATATGACGTCTTCGATCCGGGAGGGGTTCTGTCGATTTCGGCCTCCAAGGCCAGTGATCGGGCCCCGGGGCTGAGCGGCGCCGTCAACTGTGGATCCCAAGCGGAAAGCTGGCGAATCGGGGCCCAAGCATGCGACGTCTTGATTTCTCCCAACCGTCCTGTGGTGTTGGATGCTCGCTTTGAAGAAACAGCGCCCCGCGTCCTTCCTCCTCCTTCCTCCTCCTTCTCCTCCTCCTCACCCCGCTCACTCCTCCCATCTTTGCTTTCGCCCTCGGCATGTCAACCTGTTCGGTACATCCCTCACATGTTTCGTGGTCCCGTGGGTAACCCCACCGAAAGCCCCAGCGGCAGGGTCCGTATGGCGTACCCGCGCCCGATTCGGCACACCCCTTATACGGTCCGTGGCCCTATAAGGAAATCCACCGAAGGCCCCAACGGCAGGGTCCGCATGGCGTACCCGCACCCGATTCGGTACACCCCTCACACGCTTCGTCGCCCCATGGAAAACCAACGGAAAACCCCAGCGGCAAAGTCAACACGGCGTACACGCACCCGATCCGGCACACACTTCACACGTTTCGTGGCCACATAAGGAGCTCCACGGAAGGCTCCAGCGGCAGGTCCCGCATGGCGTACCCGCGCCCGATTCGGCGCCACCGTCATACGCTTCGTGGCCCCGTTGGGAGCTCCACCAGAAGCCCCAGCGGCAAGGTCCGCGTAGCGCACCTGCACCTGATTCGCCACATCCCTCACACGCTTCGTGGCCCAATAAGGAGCTCCACCGGAGGCCCCACAGCGCCCGCATGGCGTACCCGCACTCGGTTCGGTGCACCTCTCACACGTTCCGCGGCCCCATAGGGAACCCCACCAGAGGCCCCAGCGGCCGGGTCCGCATGGCGTACCCGCACCCACTCGGCACGTTTCTTGGCCCCATAGGGAGCTCCACCGAAAGCTGCAGCGGCAAGGTCCGCATGGCGTATCCGCACCCGATTCGGTACACCCCTCGCACGATTCGTAGCCCCGTGGCGAGCCCCACCAAAGGCCCCAGCGGCAGAGTCGCATGGTGTACCTGCATTCGATTAGGCACACTCCGCCAACGCCCCGCGACGCGCGCCGGTCGCCCCGAAAGGGTTCGAGCGACACGCGAGGGGTGTCCGCGGCGCTGGGTCAGAAACATCGGGTGGCTGACAAGGGGCGGGGCGCCATGCAGGGCGTGCGGGTGTCGGGCAGCACTGGGAAGCAGACCGCAAGGGAGCCCTCGCGACGCGCGTTGCGTGCCCCGAGAGGATTCCAGCGACGCGCGCGGGTCGTCCGCGGCGCGAGGCCATACAGGTGGGCAGTCGAAAGAAGGCGAGGCTCGGCCAGGCCGTCGCCAGACCCCCTCCTCCCTTTCCACCTGCCTCGCGATATTCGCAGCTGCATTTTGTGGGGTCCTTCGCCAGGCTGATTTCAATACGCGGTCCCCTGATGTCCCGACGTTTTTCCGAGGGCTGGCTTTCCATCCCGAATGTTTTTTTGGACGGCCCCGATGCCCAGCGAGGGCCCCCAGAGGCCGAGATTGGCCAAGCACCTCCCGTCGTGATTTGTTATCCACGGCGCAAGCGTGTCTGGGGACCTCTGGGGGCGCGCGGACGGAAACAACACATCCCCCGGATGTCTGGGGCACTTGCGCGGATCCTGGATATAGGGGGCCACGGGGCCGCCCTGACTCCAAATTCGCCGCGCTTTTTGGCTGCTCTTCCGGCTCAAAATTGTGTCGGAAGTGCACCGGAACGATACAAAACAATAAGGCGGGAATCTCCGCCTCAGAAGCATCAAAGGCGGGCTGGTCCGCCCTCCTTGCATGGAACATGCCACGGCTGCGTGGAACATGCCACAACCTTGGTGGAACATTCCGCAGCGTGGCTGAAATGTCCGCAACTCTTTCCAAAAAGTAAAGCGGGAACAGCCACGGACAAGGAGGGCGGAAATCTACAGCAAAGGACCTTGAAAAGCACGGCGGACACTTCCGCTCCGCCCTACCTACGACATCGCCCGAAAGCCTGGCGGATCCGGAGTCCAGTGGGTGCGTGCGCCCTCCCGGCGTGATGCACACCGAGGCCTGGGTCCAGGGTAGGCATGGACAGAGTCGGCGCTACATGCAGAGCTCTCGTCGTCCGACCCGTGGGGAGGGTCCCCTGCTGTAGGGTCCATGGAGGTTCCCGGTTCGTTTTTTGCGGCGGTCCCGTGCGCGTCGTTTCCTGCTCGATGACCCAGGATGCTCCTCGATGGTCGTCGCCAAGAGCAGATGCACACGTCCGAGCGATGCCGAGTGTCTTCAGGTCGGGCTGGTCCCTCTACAGGCAGACTTTGGAGAAAAAAACAAAACATACTAAGAAAATGCTCAAACAATCAAATATCATCAAAAAAACGTCCCAAACATTTTTTACTATTTTTTTGATATGCCTCCTGTCGAGGGACAAGCTCGACTCAAGAGTATCTCTGATGGGGCGATGTCCCACCACCACTATCATGGGTAGGAGAGGGAGGAAGAGGAGGAGGAGGAGGAGGAGGAGAAGGAGGAGGAGGAGGAGGAGAAAAAGGAGGAGGAGGAGAACCTCCTCATCCTCCTTTCTCCCCCGTTCTACAAATGGTAGTGGTGGTGGAAAATTGGCCCATCAATCTCGCCCGGAATTTGTCTGCCTCCGGCTCGGGGCCGGGGCCCAGCTCTGAGGAGATTGATGGCCCCTCCTTTACCCTCCTCCTCCTCCTCCTCCTCCTCCTTCCCCTCTCTCCCCTCCTCCTCCTCCTCCTCCTCCCCTCCTCCTCCTCCTGCCCCGAGCTGAGGGGGGGGGGGGGGGGGGGCGAGGCGGAGGGGCTCAGATCTATCTCCGACGATCTGGTCTCTCAGCCGCGCTTCTCCGAGATGTCGGCCGCTCCAGGCCTGGCCGCCCCAGGGTGTTGGGCGTCACTTGACGGGGGGGGGGGGGGGGGGCGATACATGGAAGGGGGGATGAAAGGCGCCCCCTGCGGCCCCTAAGGTCGGAGATGGACAGAACCCCCCTTTGGCAAAGCGTGGCTTAATGAAAACGACCTCGGGCCCAAACCTGGCGGGCGCAAGCCTGGAAAATGACGGCCGCGGCGCCCTCTCGAATCGACGTGTCTGGGTGGGGGTTCTGTCCACCCCCGAGAAAGGCCCCCTTCCGGGCCCTAGAGGGCCCCTGTAGGGGCCCTGAAGGGCCCCTCGTCTGCAGCCCTCGCTACCCCTCCCCCCCCCACACTGCATCGACCCCCCACCACGCGCCCCCCAAGGGTGACTGGAAATCGCTCCGGGGCCGCGCATGGGCAACGAGTGCACATCTCCAGATGTCTGCGCACGTGCACAGATACAGCCAGCGTTGTACAATCGAGACGCCGTCATAGGAACCCTAAACAAGGAGCGAGGCCCCCATTTTCCATGAGTTCAACTTCGACTCCCCATAGAAAACCTAAAGACAACACAAGAAATGCTTTAAAACTATTACTGCACAGTCAACCCGTGTCCGAACATGTTGACGTTTTTCGAACGAGGTTGGCCAGAGAAAGCTGCCAAGGATGAGCCGAAGGGGCAAGGATGCAAGGGTACCCTTGGAAACGTTGCCCATCCTTGCCATGCGGGTCGACTGTAAGGAACACTGAGCCCCTCCCCAGCTGCACAACATTCAGCGGCCCGACTGTACCATAAAACCCCGCTGGCGAGCGTCGTGATGAAAATTCAAGGAACTTTCACTGGGCCGATGTAAGGAACCCTGAGGTAGGAACGAGACCCCTTCCTTCTCCCTGGTTTAAACTTCGGCTTCCCATCGAAAACCTACAGAAGACACAAGAAAGGCTGCAAAGCAATCAAGGAGTACTGAGCCCCTCCCCAGCTGTACGACATTCGGCAACCCGACGGCACCATCAAGAGCGCAAAATGAAAAACCGAAGGGGCGTCTTTCAGGGCCCCGTACACCCCGACAAGCTAGACCCGGACACCAAACATCCCTCGAAACCAATTGTTCCAGACGGCGGCACGAACAAAATGCTGCACTGCAGCACTTCCAGAACAAGCCCGGACACGGGCCCTGAAAACCTGCAAAAGACCCCCCCAGACTCGGACACGGAACCGAATCCTGCAGCGCAGCAAAACAAGAAATGCACGGGCGCTGGCGAAGGCGACGTTGCAGGAAAGGGTGCCGTTCCCATTGTTTTCCGTGTCCTGGTTTGTCTGGCCCCGGCCGCCGAAGCCCGCCGCGGCCAGCAAAGCCCCTCCGCTCCTCATCCGGCGCTCCTCCTGGTGCCACGCTGACTCTGCCATTGCGGAGCTCCGGCGCCGCCCGTGGCGCGCTTCGCGCGTCGGGGAGGGGCATCCCAACGCCGATCCGAGCACGCCTGGCGGACCTCGGCAGAGCCACCGGGGGCCTGCTTCTCCTGGGCCCCGGCGAGCCCCGGCCACGAGCAGGCCCCGCGACGCAAAGCTGAGGGGCGGCCAGAGCACCCGAGCCACTCCTGGGCCCACAGCGGTACTGATTGCAGCGCCTTGACCGAGCCCGACAGCCCCCCCCCACCCCCCTCCTCCTCCTCCTCCCCCTCCTCCTCCTCCTCCTACTCCTCCTCCTCCTCCTCCTCCTCCTCCTCCTCCTCCTCCACTTCTTCCTCCTCCTCCTCCTCCTCTTCTTCCTCTTCTTCCTCCTCTTCTTCTTCCTCCTCCTCTTCCGCCTCCTCCTCCCCCTCCCCTCCTCTTCTTCTTCCTCCATCATCATCATCATCATCATCATCATCATCATCATCAACAGCAGCATCATCACCATCATCATCAGCACTATAATCATCACTATCATCATCATCACATCATCATCAGCATCATCATGTTCATCATCATATT